CCCCCTCACTCCGGTGTAAATAAGGAGTAACCCCACTGGGCCCAATCCCCCCCTCACTCTGGTGTAAATCAGGAGTAACCCCACTGTGCCCAATATCCCCCTCACTTATCCCAGTGTAAATCAGGAGTAACCCCCCTGGGGCTCGATCCCCCCTCACTCACCCTAGAGTAAATCAGGAGTGACCCCACTGGTCCCAATTCCCTCTCACCCCGGTGTAAATCAGGAGTGACCCACTGGGCCCAATTCCCCCTCACCCTGGTGTAAATCAGGAGTGACCCACTGGGGCCAAAGGGGTTATTCCAGTGTACAGTGAGAGGATAGTCGAGCCCCATGTTTGGAAAGCTCCAATTTCACAGCAGTTTTGATTCGTCCTCATTCTGTGTACGGTGGTCTCCCATGTCAGGGGTTAGCTGTAGCCCCCACTGCCACCAGCTCTGGGCGGTGGTTAAATGCCACCCGTCTCCCTTGGGTACCGTACAGCCAGCAGGGGCGAAGCCAGCCCGGACCGTACCTCTTTGCCTTCCTTGAGCTTGGTGATCATGACGATAAGCGGCACGCCCTCCTGCCACACCATCTGCCAGAAATCCACCACCGTGTTCAGCATGGGCCCCTGCGTGGCGATGTACTCTCGGGCGTGCCCTGCATAGCCCTAGGAGGGACAGAGAGGGAGAGAGGGCTAGGTAAGAGCTGCATTGGCAGGGACAACAGCCAGGAGTCTCTGGTCTCTTGGCCCATAAGCCACAGCGGGTTGTGGTGGATATGGAAGATTGGTAGTTTTGCTAATTATGCTAATTTAAGCTCTGTAGCAGCACCGTCCTAACCAGCCTCTGCACTGGAGCAGAGAGCTGGCAAAATCATAAGTCCATCAAATGCAACCCAAACAGCTTGCAATGCAGGTGTCTGCGTGGAGCATGCAAAGTCCAATGGATTGAGAGACTAAGCAACGAGGAGGCCCTCGAATGAGCACAGCTACCTACAACAGTGTAAGTAGTAAGGCAAAGAGAGGGACATATTTGGGGTGTCTTTTAAGAATGCCCAATATTAGGCTTGGGCACCCAGGGCAAGAGACGGAGGGGCCCAGCACACTCCGTAGCATGACAATGACTGAAGCTGCATTATTACATATAAAAGCATCTCGCGGCCCGCCAGGGGCTTACCCTGAACAAGCTGTGAACCAAGTTTGGGAACCCCTGCTCTAAGGCCTGGTCTACACTTAAAAGTTAAGTATCAGAGGGGTAGCCATAAAAGTTAGTTCAACATAGCTATGGTGCTCAGGGGTGTGAAACATTACATTTCTGAGCTCCAGAGTTAAGCTGACCTAACCCCAGGTGTAGACACAGCTGGTGTTGACAGACGAATTCTTCCATAAACCTAGCTACTGCTGCTCGGGGAGGTGGATTACCTACATCAATGGAAAAACCTTTCTATGGCTATAGGAAGTGTGCTACATTATGATGCTACAGAGGCACAGCTGCGGCCCTGTTGTTGTGCTGGTGGAGCCATAGTGTAGACATGGCCTAACTATTAGGGACCATGAAGAGACCTAATGCAGAGGGGATGCAGATTATCCCACATCTGTTACTACAGGGTTCTTACACCTACCTATCTTCTAGAACCGGAAGGGACCCTGAAAGGTCATCGAGTCCCGCCCCCTGCCTTCACTAGCAGGACCAAGTACTGATTTTGCCCCAGATTTTACTTCTGAAGCATCTGGTGCTGGCCACTATCTGAGACAGATTACTGGACTAGCTGGACTTTGGCTCTGATCTAGTCTGGCTATTCCTATGTTCTTATCACATGAAAATAATATTTTTTACCCAGGTGGGTGGTGCAGTAATTGATTAACATTTGTCATTTGATTAGCTCTTTCAAGAAGAAAAATCCAGTGTTGTCAACGCTCACAATTTTATCACGAGTCTCATAATATTCAATGTCTTTTCTCCAGCTCCTGGAGTCATCAAAATCTCAGTTTTAATTTGTTTAAAAAGTAGTAGTAAATTTCCAGCCCTCACGATTATGTGGGAAATCCAGAATATATGACCTAAGTGTAACCTAAACACTCAAACCAGGCAGCAAACCACACTTTTTAAAAAATCTCATGGTTTTAAAGCCAATAACTATTTTTTGGGCCCCATGACTCATTGTTTCTGAATGCATGAGGCTGGCAGTGCTGAGAGCCTTATTCAAGTGCTAGGTGTTATTACTGCAGAATGCTAAATTGCCAGGGGCTGTTCTGTCAGAGAAGTGTAGAGAATTCGTCTTTTAGGGGACAGAGGTTGGCAGCTCATAGGAGACACACAGCAAAGGTCTCCGGGGTCTGGCCAAGTTGAGTTCTTATCCCCACCAGCTACTCACTGCAGAAAGTTTTCACAGTGAAACCTTATCTGGAAATAGGCTCATTTCCATGTGGGGGTTGATGTGTCATCAAATGTGTTGGAGAGATCTTTAAAATAGATCATGCCCTGCCAGATATTCAAATATGACACAAATTAGCCAGTTCCCTGCTGTGTTACAGCTATTTTTATGTAGTGGCATAAACTGAAACTATGTACAGTGGGTTTTGTGAAACACTGAAATCAGATATGGAAATGTGTGTGTGTGTGTCCATTTGTGTGTGTGCACAAGGGCAGAATCCAGATATGGAAATATGTGTAAGTGTGCAAGGGGAGGGTATGCACAAGGGCAGTGTGTGTGTGTGTGTGCGCACTGCGTATGGGTAGGGCAGTGATCTCACACTCGGATGGCATGACCGCTGTGTACCTGTGACATGATGCATTTTCACACGGCGATGCAGTGTTACACTGGGTTCAGGCCTGACTGTTGGACTGCCCCATCAAACGCCCCTTGAGACCTTAACGGTCTGCTGCCTGTGTTCAGACAGCTGCATCGATGAGGCTTGCAACCTTACAAGAGACTCAGGTTTGGTGCCTGTGGCCTAGCCACAAGACTGGGAGTCAGGAGTCCTCTAAGTTAAGCTCGACTCTGGCACTGACATACTCTATGACCCTTGGGCAAGTGACCTAACTGTTCTGTGCCTCAGTTTACCCATCCGGCCCACATGGGTGATGACACTGATATAGTATTTGTGAAGCTCTGGGAAGAGGAGACCTGCTAAGTGTTATTATTCTAATCCCTCTCTCACTCGGTAGCAAATCCATTCAGATTCACCCAGGAAATGGGTTCCTGAAGCTCCCTGTGCGGGGTTGGGGATGCTGTGAACTGAGCATGCACCTTGTTGAGGTGCTAATTAAACCCTTGCCCTGCTTTCTCTTGGCCCCCCAAGTTAACTGATCCTGGTGTGTTTCAGTGGGGATCACAAACTGACCCTTACTCCCCCCCTGCAAGTCCCTGTTCCGCTGTTCGTTGCTTTCAAATGTTGGCTCCTATGGAAAATGTTTCACAACCCTGTAAACGCTGGTGAGTGGAGGGTGCAATACTTCCTCTGACCACCAGAGGGCACCGCCACCAAATCAGTCTAAAATCGCACTGCACAGAGGGTGTTTCTGCATTAGTGTTTCCTCCTGTAAAGCTCTGACGCGTTTTTCCCCATTTATGTTCCCCAAGGTACAATAATGCGCTGTGTGTCTGTCGGGTAGGAGACTCCATCTGCTGAACCTCCCTTTGGGAGCAGAGTTCTAGAGAGAGACATTGCTCCCAGCCAGCAAACACACCTCTCTGCTTCCCGGATCCCACCGCTGACACCACTTGGCATTGGCTGAGCTGGTAGTTCTGGGGACCTAATCCCTGGGAAGTGGGTGGAGACCCATCAACTCATGTCACTCAGGCCAATGAGCACATCAGTCACTGCCTAGCTGGGCTGGATCAAACAGGTGAAATAAAAGAATTCCTACTTGACACCCACTTCTCTGAGTCCTCCCCCCAACACCCAATGGAAATTCCCCACCTCGTTCCTGGAGCACGCCAGACCAAGGGGTCACCACCTCAAAAGGGCTGGGATTCCCCCATTAATAATAATACACAGCTCTTCTCTAGCACTTATTATCAGTAAATCTCAAAGCACTTTACAAAGGAGGTCAGTAGCATGATCTCCATTTTACAAATGGGGAAACTGAGGCACAGAGCAAGAGGAAGGTTAGCTTCACAAAGGTGCATTGCAATGCCTTAACGTCTAGGCCCCTGCCGCCCAGGGGAAGTCTCAGCCCCGAGCCAGGTGCCCAGGCCAGCCCTTTCCTGCAACCCCCCACCCAACCACAAAGAGAGAGCCTCCCTCCACCCCACTGTAGGTAAGAGCCTGGTAGATGGGGCCCTCACCTGGGATGTGGGAGAGCTGGGCTGGGCTGGAGCCCCGCTGGCAAGCTAGGCAGGGGAATGCCTCGCTTGAGAGTCCTGTCTCAGTGCTCTGAGCTGCTCGGCAGCATCAGGACAGAGCCATGCCTGCATGCGCCACCTGGCGGAAGCAGGTGCCTACAAGGTTAGGCAGCAGCAGCACCTGAATGTTGGACTTAGGTGCCTAAATCCCTTTGTGAACCTAACCCAAAGTGACCAGCCCCAGCAGCACAGCCTGGAATAGAATCCAGGGTCTCCTGAGGGCCAGTCTAGTGCTCTATCCACTAGGTCACGCTACCTCTGCTGCGAGCCAGAGTGGGGAAACGGTGTCTGGCTAAACCCGTGTGCCTTGTAGACTCAGGGCAGCTGACAGCTCAGTGTCATAGTGTCCCCAAGGGATGGGGGCGGGGCCCCGTTCACTCCCCCTGGGATCCCTGTCATCTAAAAATCATGAGTCAGGTGCCCCACCCCATGAGACTGGCTTGCAAAGGAAAACAGCAAGCGCCAGGCAGGTTCTTTGGCTCCTCTCCAGGGTTAGCAGCCTCTAGGATCACCTTTTCTAGCTCTGCTCTGCAACTGCAGAGGCTAGGAAGGGTTTTTAAGTGAACACTGAGATTGCCACAATCCCAGGCTCCCGGGAGCTGGGGCTTCCCGACACCCCGAACATCGCGAGAGTTGGCAGCCCTGCAGGCAGACTCTGGCTGGCTACCTGTAGCCGTCTGGAGGCCGTGCAGATGGCTCAGGGTCCGATGCAAGGAGCGTGCATGATCCCACGGGCCGCGTAGCACTGGCCTGAGTGATCTACAGCAAAGGGCCCTGTGCATAGGCTTGCAGCAGGGATTGGGGTGAGCCAGCCGGGGCACGATGCTGGAAGGAATGGGAGTGAAATGGCTGCAGCTCTAGCCCCAGGTCTGCCGCTGTGTGACCGTGGATGCAAAGCACCCAGCAGAGGTTTCACTGCCAGCAGCCAGCACCCCCTGGCACACAGGTCTAAACTGACTCAGGGGACGCCACGTCCTGCCCGCCTAAATGCTCGGCCAGGTCTCCTCGCCCAGCCCTGCAGATCAAATCAGCTGGGTTCCCAGTCCCAGGGCTGTGGGCATGTGGAGAGCTCCAGCTCCTGTGGCTCTGCGGGTCTCAGGACGGGCAAACACTCACCTGGATGTAGTTGGCATTGATGTAGTCCTGCTCCTCCTGGCTGCCGGCTCTCCTGAGGCAGACGCGGCTGTGGGGATCTAGGAGACAGAGACGGGATTAGCCCCGGAGCAGTGGAGCCCGCAAGGCAGGACCGACCTCGGCCCGGCCTCCCCTCCCTTGCAAACACGCTCAGTCCCAGGCCCTCACGCCAAGGGGCAAAATCCATCGAGGAACCCGCACGAATGCACAGAGCTCAGTGACCATGGGCTGAACATCGCTCGCCGGGCGTCTAGGAAAAACAGGGGGCAGCTGGGCTGAAACCCAGGGGATGCTCGTTAGGGTGCACCCCTCACTGTCCCAGGACACACGCTCCCAAGCAGAACCTTCTCCAGATGCCCCCGGGCCCTAGCTTACCCTCACACACATAGCGGGAGGGAGCGGCACGTACTCGGGAGGATGGTTTTGTATCTGTCCTTGGAGGCCCGTCCGGGGATGTCCAGCTCCTCCGGGTTGACAAAGTTGGGGGGGATTTTCTGCGAAGGGGAAGGAGATGGCTGCTGAAATCCCTTCGCCGCCGCTCTGGCTGGGCCAGGCTCGGAGAGACGCCTGCTGCCCCCCAGGACTCTGCCAGCGCGACTGGGTTCTGGCGGGACCCATTTTCCGGCCCCTCCTGACACGTTTGTGAGAAGGGCTTGTTGGCAGCGTTTGTTCCTGACCAGGCTACGGAAGGGCCCTTCCTAGCCAATGCCCGGGGCACCTGAGCATAAGCCTTGGGCACCATGCCTGCTCCCACTGCCCCAGGGATGGAGACCCCCGGCACAACCCGCCTGGAATGGGCAGGTAATGAGAGCAGAGACAAACACCCCAGGGGGCAGAGAACACTTCCTGCACATACTAATGATCCAGATTCCCAGCTGAGGAGAGCTGCGCCCCACCAGCACCGGGCCTGCTTCCCCTGTGGGGTCGGATAGCAGCTTTGCCAGCATAGCCCACTCTGCGAGGGCCGTGCCCCAGAGAACCCCACGCTCAGTCCCCTAGATCATTCTGCAGGGGGGAGGGGGGTGCCCAGTCAGTCCCGGCCACGGATTGGGTAGAGCTAGTGCCCTCCCCTGTGAGGTACTGAACACCAGGCTGACGGGTGTGCCCTTGGGAAGGCTGGTGGGAGGGGAGCGGCCTGACTGTGGGCAGGGGGGCACCCTGATGAGACTGGGAGGGGTGGGCGAAGGGCAGAGCCAGCGTCTCACCGAGAACTCCTCCTGAAGCTGTGCCAGATTCCTGGCTCGCTGCTGCAGCTCCACGCCAGTCAGGACGTGGCTGGATGTCCTGAGGAACCGCAGCGTGATGTCCCGGGGGGTGCAGACTGAGCGGATCGGCTCCACGCTCGCCAGCGAGCTCATGTCCAGCACCAGAGACACATTGGAGCCTCTCCTGCAAGGCAGAGCGGCTTGTTGAGATGAAGCTGTGCGCTCCCCTCTTCCCCCCCCCCGCCTGGCCCCCAGGCTGAGTCAATAGGGGTGGGAGTGCAAGTCTGGGCAGGCAGAGCTCTGCAGAGGACACTGTGCCAGGTGGGGCTGTGGGGCTCTAATGGGAGGATGCCATGGGGGCAGAGCAGGGTCCCTGAGGATATGTGAGGGGAGGTGCTGCCCAGGCTCTGGGGCAGGAAGAGCACTTTACCGCCATCTTGGACCCACATGTGACTCTCCAAGGCCCTGGATTAGGGTCAGGCAATTCACCTGCAAACCCAGCCTGGAGCAGCCCCAGCCCGACTGGCCCCCAGCAGCTCCTGCTCCAGGCCCTGCAGCCCCCTAGCAGCTGACTGGGCACCCAGCGCACATAAGAGCCAGGCTGCTGTTGCTTTGGGTATAAAACGGGCCCAATGAGCGTTCTCAAACCATGGCCACACAGGAGCTGTGGTGGGTGCAGACGGCAGCTCCCCACCCCTCCGTCAGGCCGGCACCAGCTCCCCACAGCCCTGGGGCTTGGGCGTTGGATCCCCAAGGATGCCACTTCTCTCCCCATGCTGAGCCCAGCTGGGACGCATTCGCTGGGGGTCCCAAGGCCTGACTGGGGGCTTAATCCAGGGCCTGTCTCCCTTGGGGGCCGGCTGGCGGCTCAGAGCAGCAAGTGGCCTAGAGCCTGCTGTCTCCTCTCCCCGACGCTGCCTGCAGACGCTCTGCCAAGGCGGCTCTGTGCACTGCTCAGAGCCCTCTACCCCGGACGTGGCCTGTAAGGCCCATCGGTGCCTGGCTGCTGCTCACCTCTCCTGCAGCCGCACATGTTTCTTAGCAGAAGGACCGGGCGTGCCGACCTTGTCCATCGCTGCCTGGGCTGCCCGGCCTGACAGACTGGCGCTATGAACTCCAGAGCATGCCGAGCAGTCCTGGACCATGCTGTGCCAGCAGCAGAGCCCTCACACTGAGGCACAGAGGGTGCAAACGGGTCCCAGCGGGCCAAGGCTCAGAGAGGATCAATGAGCCATCGGGGGAAAGGCGTCTGGAAAACACAAAACACCTGCTCAGCTGCCAGCAGGGGCGCAGCAAGGCCCCCTGCTCCTCTCTGGGGCTGGCCAGCGCAGCCTGGATAGCCAGCGGGCAAGTGGCCCAGCGTCGGCCCAGTCAACAGAGCAGAGCATCTGAGCCCACAGCACTCCTGGCAATCAGGCCTATGAGGTGGAGCTGGACTCCCAGGAACGGGCCCCAAACTCAGGTGAAAAGTCTGGCCTAGGTCCTTTGGCTGGTTCCTGCTAGCAGGGCCGGCTTTAGGCACCGCGGGGCCCAATTCGAAGGAGCTGCCGCCGAAGTCCCGCCGCTGTCTTCGGCAGCAGCTCAATCGCTGCCGCAGAGGAAGGACCCTCCGCTGAAATGCCGCCAAAGACAGCGGCAATGATTGAGCTGACGATGACGACAGTGCCGGTACTTCGGCAGCAGCTCAATCGGCTGCCGGTGCCTTTGGCGGCACTTCGGCGGAGGGACCTTCCTCTGCGGCAGCAATTGAGCTGCCGCCGAAGACAGTGGCGGGACTTCGGCGGCAGCTCCTTTGGGACGTTGCGGGGCCCTCTTAGGGGCATGGGGCCCGATTCCGGGGAATCGGCTGAATCGCCCTAAAGCCGTCCCTGCCTGCTAGGGCAGATCTGTAGCCCCCAGAGCGTGAGGGGGGTGGACATGGTGCCGGCACAGTCCAGCTGCAGCCTCTTACCTGGGGGGCACGGTGCCGGTGCCGGCATGGCCCTGCTGCAGCCGCCGCCCCAGGGGTCCCGGCTTCTGCAAGGCGCCACAGCAGCCTTTCCACCCCGATGCTCCCGATGCCGCTTATGGTTGCCCCTCCTGGCAGAACCATGCGTCGCTCCTTCCTCTACACCACCCCCAAACCCTGCCCCAGAGCTAGCCAGAGAGTGACGCTCCTTGCTGCCCTACGCCTTCACCCCCCAGTGCCCCACGGCGCGGGCTGCCGTATCCTCTCGCAGACCCCTGCCCCTTCCCACGGCCAGGCCTTCCCTCCTCCCTCTGCAGTCGCTTACGGCTCGGGCTAGTCCCACGCTCCCCGCTCAGCCTCTGGCAATGATTTGTCTGCCCCTTTGTATCACTTGCCTAGTGACCTCCCCCTCCACCCTCACCGGGTCAGCTCCTCCACTGGGGTAAGTCGCTGTCGCTCCGGCCAGGCCAACAGAGCTGAACAAGTGACCCCAGCTGGGGATCGGGGCCCATCGGCTCTGGGCTCTCTGTGGAGCTGCAGGAGGGACAATGCGAGCGGGAGCGAGGGGCAGTGCCAGCTTCCCTGCCCCTGCCATCAGGAGGGAGGGGAAGGAGAAGGGTACAGGGGGTGGAACGGACCGGGGTAGGGGGAAGAGGGGTAAAGACAATGGGGAGGAATAAGGCTGTAAGCAAGCAGCGGGAGCAACCGTTCCCTGGCACTCTGCTACCTGAGCAATGGGCAGGGCTGGCGCTGCTTCTCTGCCCCAGGCAGCACAGCCCTATGGGCCAGGCTCTCCAGTGCCACGGGGATCCATCCTCTGCTGACACGGGAGCTCTGAGGAGAGAGGGCACCGGCTCAGAGAGATTCCCCACCCCCTCCCCACCACTGCCCCCGCACCAACCGTTGGAGGAAGCTGGCTTAACCATGCAGTTGAGCAAGACGGCATGCCGCCGAGGCTGATTGGCTGGGGCAGCGAGGAGCAACTGGCAAGGCCGCCGGCAGCGGAGGGTCCAGCCTTGGAGAGCACGGGCTTACCCCAGCTGCCCAGCTTCTGGGAGGGTTGAGACTTGGGGGGCTGGCGCCAGAGGGCGAACGCAGGGAAAGCGGGCAGGGAGCGGGGGTGTGAGACAGTGGGCCAGCAGGTGGGAAAGGGCCAAGGAGATGGGTCCTCCCCTGCTTCCTTGCCTCGGTGCATGGGAAATTGCACCGCTTTAACTCAGGCCTGCTCTGCACCCAGGTTTTAGCCATGTCGACTAGGGGAGGGATTTGTTAGCTACACCAATAGCGCCAGACACCATTACATTGGGATAAAGGCGCCTTATTCCCCTTCTTGTACGGAATAAGCGATCCCGGTGTAAACCCCTTTACACCAGGACAAACCCCTTTGTACCGGCACAGCTGCCCCCACCCTTTCATTAGACTGGGAGAGCGACAGCAGGATGTTTGTGTGTGTGGACAAGGTCACAGATTGGCTTTTAAACCAAGACACTTCAGCTGATGCAACCCCCTGCGTGGGCTCCAATTTCAGTTTAAAAGCAGCTTGTTTGGGTTTAGATTAAACCTGCTTGCAGCTGACCTAAGCTAGACTGAAATCAGCCTACTGGAAACCCCACATCTGAGCATCTGTGCAGCCTTTGACGCCGGTTTCACTATTGTCTCTAAAGCCACACCTATAATTAAGCAAAAACAACGAGGAGTCCTTGTCGCACTTTAGAGACTAACAAATTTATTTGGGCATAAGCTTATTCTCTAAGGTGCCACAAGGACTCCTCGTTGTTTTTGCTACCACTCTGATACCTATAATTAAGGTGTAAGTAGAGTAACTTCTATGGCCCCAAAAGAGACACTCCAGACTTCCTCTAAGGGGAGTGAGAGGGGAAACTTGCATGTTCTCCTGTGGACAACCTTCCTTCTTTCCGCCATTTTGATGGAGAGAATCAAGCGGGCTCTGGTGCGCGCTCTCGGGCCCTGGCTAAGGGAAAGCTGCAGCAGCTGAACTTAAATCAGGTTTTAGGCCGGTTTTGTTAGAATGGTGCGCTAGGCTGTGTGGACAGGCTTATTCCACATTAACTAGGCTTAGGTCAATGGAGGTTCCGCCGAGTGGGAAGAGGTTGAAACCAAACTGCAAGCCGCTGCTTTTAGCCTGAAATCTGAGCGTCCACACAGGGGTTAAACCTTAAACTAACCTGGTTGGAGAGAGCCCTAAGCTAGCCTGGTGCAGCTTTCCTGTGCAGACAAGGACGTGTCGCTCTGCTACAATCTGCTGGGTTCGGGGACTAGCCAGCCCCAGGCTGGGGCCTGCCTATCAACCTCACATGATCTGAAATACCGAGGAGCTAGCAATGGGGAATCGTGAGGGAGAGAGATGGAGTCTGGAACAGAGATTGAGGGGCTAGGATGGGAGGTGGGGGGGGTCTATATTTCTCCTTCTCCATCCAATTCCCATGGGTCCTGCAGCACCTCCTGGCTCTCACGGGGGGTGTCCAGAGGCCCTACTCAGCTGGGCCTGGACACAGCCTCGTCATGGGCTCAGATCCTCCTTTGGAACCAGTCCCAGTTTCAGCATAACTAAAAAGCTAGTCTAGATCTGTCCCACGATCCCCAAGCCCAGGCCTCACTATGAGCCTCTCCCCCGGGCACTCCGCTCTTGGCATTAAAGATGAAATCAAGACCAGGTTGGCGGGGCTAGGCCTTGGGACCTCCCCACAGCAAGGGGGCATAGAGGGCAGGACAGCCCAGAGGGATGGGGTTTGAGCAGGCTGTGTCCAAAAGTGTGGGGATGAGGCACTGCACACGGGCAGCTGGGGATGATGGGCCAAGCCGAATCCAGATCCTAACAGTGCCCAGGGCTCATGGGGCTATGGCTGGGACACATCTGTTGTGGAGGGGGCCAGGGTCGCTGTTCCACTTCCCTGTGGCTCACCATGCTGTGGAGGAATGTGGCACCCAGCTTGCCAGGTTTATACCCGGCTCCATGCCAGGGGGTCCGTGCCTGGCTGACTGGGCCCAGGGAGACGGGAGGAGTTCCCCTGCAAACCCCACCGTCCCTGCGTGACAGGCCCGAGGTGCACCTGTTTGGGCTAAGGGAGGGAGGGGCTGAGTTCTGGCCTTCCCCGCTCCTCCCGCCAAGGCCTGTGTGGAGAACCCCACTGGCAGGCCGGGGTGGGTGTCCCCAGAAGAGTCCAGCCTTGGAGTGTGATCACTGGGTAAAGGGCACCAGCCTTCTAATGCTAATGCAGCCCCCCGGCCATCTCCAGACACACCTAGCTAGGAGCACCCTGCCGGTGCCACGCACGGTGAACCTGGGCGCCATGTCGGGACAGGCCCCACCATAGCCTCTGCCTGGCGCTGCAGTCCAGGTCCTAATCCTGTGCCCATCCCCATGGTATCTGTGCTGCCCTGCTCCTCAGGAAGCCACCAAGGCACAGACCCGCCCTACACATCATCTCTGCCCACAGCTGCAGCCCAGAGGTGCCCGGGACCTGCTGCCCACCCGTCCCCAGCTCGGGACCCTGGCTGCCCCATCGCTGCAGGCTAGTTCAAGATCGCGCCGGGTGCTTACCTGGGGCCCTGAGAGGGCCGGCCCCGCGGCTCCTCAGCACTAGGGCTGCGCGTGGTGCATGAGTGGGTCGGGCGCCAGGGTTTGAAAGTGTTCAGGAAACTGCTTATCAAGGAGACTCTGTTGCCTCTGCTGCTTCCTCTCCCCGCTTCTCCCCCCACCCTGCCTGCCGCCCACGCACATACCGGCCACACGCTCCGCAGCTCCGCTCCATCCGGCCTGTGCTAGGCAGGCACAACCCCACCCCTCCCTGGCGAGCTCCCCACGGGGCTCAGGTGGGGCCAGGCCCTGCCCGCCCCTCTGCTGCCCCTGCGGAATAGGGGTCTGCCTGCCAGGGCAGGACATGCTGCCAGAGCGCAGGGGGCAGCGGGGCTGGCCCTGGGGCTGGCCCATGGAGGGCTGTCGTCCTGGCCAGAATGAGGGTGTACCAGCACATGGCCGCCCCAACAGACTCGCTGCAGCTGAGGCCGACCTGGGCAACAGAACAAACAGGCAGGGATCCCCAAGGGGGCATGAGGCGGGGGCCGGGCGGGGGCAGGGCATGGGTTAAGCAGAAAGAGACTTTGCGTCTAGAGAAGCTTCCTGCTCCCCATGCTGTGGTACTGCCCCTCCCCGGTGGGTGGGAGAGGGGTTCACCTGGCCCATACCTACCTGCTGCACGATGACCTGTCTGGCCCTACACAACCCCCCACTGTGCCCCAGA